CAAGGTGGAGTGAACGCCGGCCGAATGGTTCCTCTGTGGCTCTCGGACAAACCAAACCCAGAGGTAGAGGAGAACTCTCTGAACACCCCAGCAAGCATGGCTGGCGATTTGTCACCCGGCTACCCTTGCTTACATCTGAGTAGACATGCCCAGAACTGCGTTGCTGATGTCGGATCAGTCAGATGAACTGCCATCCCCACATATCTGCTGTTTAACACTGCTGTCTTCGTGGCCTTGTAAGATGGCAGAGATAACGTCACCGTTTTCAGTGATAAAAACAATTTCAGGGCATAAAAAGTGAGGGAGGGAGGGATGGTTTGATGAAGGTCACTGTTCCCTTATTAACAGAATTTTAAGTGGTCTGTGTATTAAAAACAAACGAGTCCAACCAAGGGCTTTCGAATAAATCCAGCCAGCTTTTACAATGTATATAATCTCTATAAACAATCTTTCCCCCTGTTTATGTCGATAGAATTAGGTACAAAGAAAACTCCTGGGCAGGAAAATCAAACATAAGGGCTTCGAAAGACTAGGGAAGAGTCTTTTTAATTTTTATTTTAAAGAAGATAATCTTTAAACTAGAAGGAGCGATACATGGGGAAGTTCCTTCTTCTCAGTTACGACTGCCTAAAGCCCCACTGTGAAGTCTGGTGGATTCTGAGAACTGTTATTCGTCCTTTCTAAATATTGTATGTGTATATGTTTCGGCACCTCTACCAACCTCGCAGAAGCGATGTCTTCAATGTGTGATGTTCACAGAGACCTCTAGTCCGACATTTCCAATGTCAGAATTGGCAGCTAGTATGGTCACCTGGAGGCTTCTGGAAGTTTCCGTATCCATGGAGCCGTGCTATTTTGCCTAGATTGCACTACCTCAGGCTCAGGGGGTACCACCTTGAGCGAAAGATACCATTTCAGGCTGAAACTGGACGACAGAAACGTAAGAAAGAAGTAGCTCTTCTGTCTTACAAATAGAAATGGACCAAAAACAACAACAAAACAAAACATCAGCATTATATTTTGCAACTACTATTTGCAAAAGTTCCAAATAGAGTAATCCTAGAACGAGCTGGAATTTTTAGTATGTATACATTACTGAAACAGCAACATCTACCTTGGCTTGGGCATGTCATGAGAATGGCTGATGGTCGGATTCCAAAAGATCTCCTGTATGGAGAATTAGTGCAGGGAAATCGCCCCAGAGGGAGACCACAGCTGTGATACAAGGATATCTGCAAGCGGGATCTGAAGGCCTTAGAAATGGACCTCAACAGATGGGAAACGTTGACCTCTGAACAACAGATCCGGAGGCAGGCGGTGCATCACGGCCTCTCCCAATTTGAAGAGACCCTTGTCCAGCAGGCCGAGGCAAAGAGGCAGTCCTGAAACCAGCAAAATTAGGGAGCAGGCAGTCCTACCAGATTGTATTTGTCTTCAATGTGGAAGGGATTGTCACTCTCGTATTGGCCTTCTCAGCCACTCCAGACGCTGTTCCAAGTCCTCCATACAGAGCACGTTACCCTAGTCTCTCGAGACTGAAGGATGCCTACACTAACTATTTGCCTTTGTTCAGTTTGAGCTTCCCGTTCTGTTTTGTTTTTCCATGGTGAACAGACTTCTATCTGCAGTCTAGGATGGTTACAGTCCAATAACCATTTTGCCATCACTGGATGTTCTGCACGTAGACAGGGGTTCCTCGGAGACGATGGGACCCATGTTAAGAAGGGGCTGAGTGAGCAACCGCTGTTGCACTCATTCACAGCCTGCTCTAGAGGAGGCAGAACAGGATAAAGCCCTATTGTCTTTTTCACATGATTTGCTCAGAAATATATTCCTGGATGCTTCCAACAATGTGTAAATTTATCTCTTTTGTTTTCACTGTATTCCCCTCCCCACCCCGAATCCCATCAGCATATTCTTCCAGGACTGTGTTGAGCTCAAAGAGTTCATTTATTTTTTCCCTCCCTACTGAGTAGGTTGCGAGGATGGTTAAACCTTAAATGTGCATTTTTCATACCCATTTTTCAAGAGCATCCATTTTGCCCTCATTGCCTCACAAACTACAGCACCCTTGCGTGCATGTTTGAAATAGATGCATTTTTAAAATTGGGCATATTTTGTAACAGTATGTATGATTTTGTGCACATTTTTTATTTCCGTGGCAAGTCTCAGAAACGTATGGATTTCCAAGGTGAGATGTTTTGATCCTAGTACCAATATCAAGAGGTAGGAATTAAATATTTCCCTAGAGAAATGCAACCTCTCCCCAAATTTATTACCTATCCGTAGTTCCATCTGCTTGCTTCAAAAAAAGACTCTCTCAAGCTGTTAACAGCCAGAATCCTTGTGATTAAAATGAGGCTTAAAACCTTCAATATATGTTTCCCATCTAAACATTTGATTATAATTTTATAGCTTTCTTTTTAACCAGATACTCACAATATTGGAAATAGCTTTAGGTTAGAGGCGGTGTGTAACTGTTCCAGTTTTAACAGGGACACCAGCGTCTATATATAGTGAGCACCAAACATTTTATAAAATACATTTGGCAGCAACCATGTTGCAGTATATTGTATACCACATAGATTAAAAACACTTTTTCCAGTTCGTGGCCAATATAAAAAATATTGCTTCCCCCCCTCTTTTTTCTGCCTCCTCTCTGGAGAAAAATCTGGAAACTGTTATAAGTAAATAATAATAATTGCCATGGTAAATCTGTGGGTGACGACATAGAGAAGTCAAGCGATGGTCATACCCCCACATTCAGTCCTGGGTCCTAACATATTTTAGTAACTGGCGCCAGATCACCCAGTGAGCCTCATAAAAGTGGTGGAATCTGAACCCAGATCTTCCCAATTTTCATCTAATCCTCTAACCACTACAGCATACTGGATCTGTAAAACAGTGACGATATCAATCCTGTCATTGAAAATGGAGATCATTCTGGGTTTCGCTACTGTAGACTACTTTCTGGCAACCTCGCAGCACAGCAGAGGCAAGAATAACAGGCTACCTACCTTGCAGGGTTGGTGTGAAACTTGTTAGAACTCAAAGAACATGAATTATCTGTAGGGCTGATGGTGGCTGTACTGGAACACAACTGGTTTATAGAACGTAACCCCCCAACTTTTGTATAAACTCTAAAGGGATGACTGAAGTGTGGGAAAGCCTATAGAAAACAAAATTTGGTAGTCCTCAGGGTGTCACAAGACTCTATGATTATGTCTGGTGCTGGTACCAACAACTGTAGAAACTGAGTTTTGAAAAACTACGCTTTGGACTACGACGCCTAGCATGGACACTGGATTCTGGGTGTTGTAGCTCCTCCAAAGTGAACTTTTCGACACTCTGTCTATGCACACTCCATAAATCCCACAACTAAAAACACATTTACTCCAAAGGACTAGCATCCTGTAATTACCATGTTTACAATGGCTTTATAAGTGTTACAGAAAAGTTACTCTCTCAGTTCCTTCTCTTTCTGCCCTCCAGACGTATTGAAGATAGATTAAAAAAAAAAAAAGATTAACCTGGGTGCCCATAGAATTCTCCAAAATTGGAATTTACTGAGGTAATCAAAATGCATGTTTTTAGATCAACATGACAAACTTGCTTCAAATGGGTTTTTTAGCTCCATCAATAGGCCCGTCTGAAAGGACAAACATAGTTGAATCCATCATATTTATTGCATTTAATCAAAACTTGATTTTGGTTAAATTTATTCCATATGCATTGTGTATGACGTGTTCCCATTTCAAGACCCAAGTCTGTAAATATCGCTCTTGTGCGGGAGAAGGTTCAAATGCTCGAAGAGTGAGCGTTAACAAGATTGGGAGTGTTAATCTACAGCCGAGTCCAAAACGGGGAGCTGGTGTGGAATAGCCGAACTAGAGTCAGACTAGGACTCAGGAGACCTGGGTTCGAAGCTCTGCTTGGCTGTGAACTGGGGGTCACTGCACCCACAATTTTTTGGAAACTTTATTAGAATTGCCATAAGTTGAAAGCGATTTAACAGAAACAAGCATAGAGCTGTGTGCTTAAGGGGCTGACGTAGGAAGGGCTTTGAATTTCTTCCAGGTCGGTTGTGAGGATAAAATGGACAAGACGTCATCGCAAGCTGGCCATGGCCCTCTGGGGATGACAACGAGCGGCTTTCAGAAAGGGTTGGACTACAAGTCCCATCACCCCCTGCCAGTGGTTGTGCAAGCTAAGGCTGATGGGACTTGTAGTCCAGCTCTGTGTGGACAGCCACATTCAGCGTTCCCATGTCTTAGGAGAACAACAGTATAATAGTTTGTGTGTGTTAATTAAGGTGATTTAATTACGTTTTTGAGTTTATTTTAAATTTTATTTATTTATTTGTTGGCCCAAAGGGGATTGAATGGTGGTGAAAGAGAGGTGAGGCAGCATATATATATTTATATAAATCAAAAGGGGTGTGTGACGCCAAAATGTTTGGCAACCTCTGCCATAAAAAGGTGGCCCTATAAATCTTTGGATAACTGAATACTATATCATGGTGTTCTATAAAATCTTTGTAGAATTGAATATACTGTATAAACAAGCCAGCCAGCCAAAAATCATAAATATGTAACCCTGTGCCTTTATTTTCCTTTCTGTTTCCTCAAAACAAAAATTCTGGGAATTGTAAAGGTCAGAATAGAGCTGAGGAGATTTGGGGGGTTTGGACTACAACTCCCAGAATTCTGTGAGGCAACATCTCTAGTGCGACTAGGACCTGGTGTGCTGCCCAGGGAATTCTGGGAGTTGCAGTCCAAAGCCTCTGCCTCGCCGAGACTGGCAAATTCCCTCTGAGGGAGACGTTGTGTTTTCTCAGGGAACTGCATTTCCCAAAGGCCTCTGGGGCATTAAAAAAAAAAGGAGGGAAATTTTGATTATGGATACCATTTAATACCAAAATGTAGCTAATATACCTTTAAAAATACAATATACTTTTTTCCTCTCTCTCCACAGGTGTTGCTTATTGGCATTTAAAAAATAATTCTGGTGGTGAGGGGAAGGAAAGGCTACACCTGAGGCGACTGCCTCAGGCCAGGCAGAAAATGGCTGACCTGAGGGAAGGAATATTCTTCCCTGTAGGCTAAAACAGCACCCTTTACCTCCATAAACATCATTATTTGGGGTGCTTTTAATTATTAGTGTAATAGGAACAAATATTTCTGCAGGCTTATAGTGGGGAGGAAAAGAGGAATATTTTGTAACCACAGTCCAGGAAAAAGTAAGTTTATTTTCTAGGCCTTTTGCTCGATTTTAGGGTTTGTTTGTTTGTTTTTTCCTTCCCAGGCCTTTTCTTCTTACGTGAAGGCCATTGCCTCAGGCGGCAGATTTTGGGGAGGTAGCACCCAAAAAGTAGCCCATGTTTAGTTCTGGAGTTTTGCCGCTCTTTATTTGCTGGGAAAAGGGGTTTGAGGGAAAATATGGCTCAGGAAAGGGGGGGGAGAGCTGTGGGTGCCGTTGTTTCAGGCGGCAAAATGCCTTGGGACGGCCTGTGTCTATCTCCCCATCCCCCACTTGGTAAAAATGTCCATAAGCTTTTCCAGGCAAGCCCTAATGGAACCTGGTTTCTGCTCCCTGAGGCCTTCCTTCCCCTGACAGTTTTCCCCAGTTGCAAACGGACGTGTTGATTGTGTTACAGCGTTTATAAATGTTATCAAACGTTTATGCTGGAAAACAAACAAGGAGGTAGAAACTTGTTATTGGCAGGATTGCAATTAACTGGTTTATTTTAGTGTGAGCTTTCATGGACTACAGCCCACAAAACGTCCTAAAATAAAGACTGTCTGTCTATCCCATATTCTTTTCTGTCTGTCTATCTGTCCGTCTATCCATCTATCCCATATTCCTGTCTGTCTGTCTGTGTATCAAAGGAGACAACTGAATGACAGTAGAGTTTAACTGCATATATGTATACTGTATTAAATTGGACTGTGTTGGATTGCTAAGGGGTGCATTTTATCTATACACACACCAGTATAAATGTTCAGGTGCTGGACAAAGGGCAAAGAAAGCCGGGTTTCATTCTCCACTGAGACTTGCAATTAACTTGAATCTCATTGTACGGTAGTTCCTCTCCTACCTCTCAGGGTCATTGTTAGAGTAAAACCAATGCATTGTGGCCCCTTGTATTGTTCCCCCTTCCAGCTTAACCCATTTTCCCCCAGTGAATTACAGTACAACCAACTTCCACAGATTCATGGGGATGTGTCTGGGAAGCGTAGGTTGTGATCTACAAGATCTGTAGCTGAAACAAAGGTGAAGGACATTTTTGTTTTTGCTGAAACCAACTAATAGGCTACTTCTTCCTGAAACAGTTGGGATACAAATGAGTGCAGGGGGCAGTAAGGAGAACAGAAAGAAGATGAGAAAATAACAATTGGTCTGGAGTTCGTTATTTCTAAGCACTCCGGTTTAATATTGCTGTTATTCCCCTCCAGTAATATCGGAATTATCGTTGTAATATCCGGGAGGCAGTGGAAGACAGGAGGGCCTGGCGTACTCTGGTCCATGGGGTAACAAAGAATTGGACACGACTAAACGACAATATCGGAAACAAAGAGAGAATCCCCTGCAGTGAAACTTGAATTGGGCTGTGTTAGAATTACGTACTCAGACAGAGGTTAAGGATTAAATAAACCTCCCGAACAGCTGCAGAATAAATTTTTATTTGAAAGAAAACAGCAAGGGTTAAGTCAAACATAACAAGTAGTTTATACTCTTCTCAAAGGGAAGACAAGAGAGAATCTAAACGTTTGCAAGTGGGTGGATATTTTTGGAAAAAAATAGATAAATTATTCTTTCTATCTTTCTAGCCAGAAAAAGGCACATTACTACCGCAACAGAAGCAGTTGTTAAAGAAGGACCTTTATTTTCCATTATGGATGGGTAAGTATATTTCAAATTTATTCTTCACTGGAATTCTGAAGTCTAGATATACATGGAAAATGTTGACTTGGTGGGGAGCCAGGATATAAAATGGCAGTACTGGGGTGGGGCTAATAATATGAAACGGGGGCCAGGGTGATGTGAGCTGGATTATGAGCCAGCATTCATGAAGTTAGAGGACCAGGATTTTTGGATCAGCAGGGATGATGATCTCACGTGGCTCCTTTTCGTGAGTTCCACATTTCACTTGACCTTATCTTAAAATCTTACACAGTGCTGCAATTCTTACCCTGTCAACAGAGAGAGGATTTCATACACTGTTAAATGAGATGGTTAGTAATACCTATTGTAACACAAAGGCTTTTTGTCCAGTTTGGTCTTGAATAAAGAGTAAAGATCCATTAGCTGTACAAAAGACCTCATTGTGGTGGTAAGAATGGCTAGAACTGGTTTCTTACTGTACAATAATAATAAATACAATAACCTGCATCTGTGGCCTCCCCTTAAGGATGAGTCTGTCAGGAATATTGTTGTAAAAACCTTCACTTCTAAATGTAAACATGTGATAAATGTGAAGTTGAAGAGTTTGTGCTTTTATAGAAGATAGTTTAATCACAAATATGTATATAATTTTCATTAAAATGTGTTTCATTTATATGTTTCTGCATGCTATTATCTTAAGCAAAGCGTGCTGCTTTGCTTATCCCGAGTTACACTATAAAGCCTCCCATAAATCCTAATAATATGTGGGTACTGCAGCAAACCTGTGGTTGTTGGACATTCATTATGCTCTCCATCACTCTTTCCTGTATTGTTGTGGTGCTGTTTTTATGCCAGTGTCAATCGGCCAGTACCTTTGCATGTCTGTGCTGCTGCTGTGGCTACCTAAGGAACTATGTTCACAACCTGAACATCAGACATTAAAAACAATGATGATAAAATTTCCCATCTGTTATTCAAGAAGCTGAGGTAGTGTTCATTATCCCCTCCTATGTAAAGCTCAAAACGAATTAATTACAAATAATTTAGTAACTGGTGACTAGTTTTCTTTCAGGCATCGTGGAATATGACAAGTAATTGAAAAAGGTGCTTTACAGATATAATTAGTAACATGAGTAACAATCACTTTTAATACTTTTTTTAATAGGAGGTGGGTTTTTTCCCCTTTCAGATTTTATGCCATACTATCTATCCTAAATGGCAAAATAGATGTCCTTTGATTTGTATCTTTTGTGTTTTTATTAATATTTCCAAGGTGCAGTGTCAGAATTGGCCAAAAGAGAATACCAGTGAGTATTTCTTCATGTTTTCCTAGCAAAATGGTAACACCAAAATTCCAGATAAATAATAAGCAACCCAAAGAATTACTCAAGTAAATTGAGCAATGGAAAGCAAAGAGTAACACAACAGGTTGCTTCTGAAAATGTAACACTGTGAGCTATGGCCTCACACAGACCCTCCCAGCAAGGTAAGCTAGGTTGGGGGAAAGTGAACAGCCCCAGAAGGATCCAGTGAGTCCATGGACAAGTGGACGTCTAAACCTGGGTCTCCCTAGAATGCAGATACTGTAATTTACTTGTTTGGTCTACAGAACCCAGACTCCCTACTCACTATGGTGACTTTTTCAATCCCTGAATCTTTGTGTTTTATCTGGTGCTCTAAACAATACATCAAATCGAGAACCTTGATTCATGCATTTAAGGAGCAAAATCGTTGTTCCGGGTAGTCCCTCCAGCCCAGTTATCATCATCCTAGAGCTGCAGAGCTAGAAGGGACCCTGTGGGTACTTCAGCCTTCAGTGACAAAGCTTTCCTGGGCTTAGAGATGTTCTTCAAATGTGTGCTCATCTATCCTTCCATCCTGTGGCACGAAGAGTTCGATCCTGGGCCCAGATAGCTGGCTCAAGGTCAACTCAGTCCTCTATCCTTTCAGGGTTGGTATATTGAATATATATACAGTATATTGCTGGGGAAGCAACGTGCAACCTGCATAATTAAACTGTAAACCACCTGGAGAAAGCTTTAAGCACTATGGGGTAGTATATAAGCGCCACACTTTGCTTTGCCTCGCTCAAGGTAGGGCAAAGCCCTGGCTCCAGGTATGCCCCATCCGTAGGTTTGTGGCAGTGCTTAGAAATAAAACCACATAAGTGTAACCAGAATGTTTCTATATTTCAAAGGTGTGTGTGTGTGGCAGGGTCCTTCTCAAGCCAGCTGCATGTGTACAGCTGCAGCTGAGGGGAATTAAATTGAAAAGGTACAAGGTGAGGCATGGAAATCATGACGTGCGAAGCGAAACGGGAAGCCTCGGCTCTAGCGGGGAGTCGCCACAACGGCTACGAGGTGTTCCTGATTCTGTCATCAGGCCCTCAGCCTGCTTTTCCAAGGTAAATAGTCACATAGTAAGTGAGGGTCAGAAACTAACGTTCATCAGCAATACCATCATAATCCAAATGAAAGAGGCTGTGAATTGGGCATTCTAAGGATTTGACAATCCGTCATTCTTTTCATTTCCATTTCTAAGAATCATAGAATAGCGAAGTTTGGAAGGGGCCCGTAAAGCCATCCCTCCCAACCCTCTGCTCAAGGGAGGAATACAAATCGTAGGATATCTGACAGATGGTTGTCAAATTTTCTCTGGAATGTCTCCAGCGTTGGAGCGCTCACCACCTCCCAAAGTCATGGGTTCCATTGTCATACTTCTCTAACAGTTAGGAAGTTTTTCCTGACATTCATCTGAAACCTGGCTTCCTGAGGGTTCCATCGTCATACTGCTCTAACAGGAAGTTTTTTCAGATAGTCAGCGGAAATCTGACTTGCTGTAGTCTGAGCCCATGATTACATGCCTTGTACTCTGGGATGATCAAGAACAGATCCCGCCCCTCCTCTGTATGACAACCTTTCATATATTTGAAAAATATTATCATATCAGCCCTCTGTATTCTTTTCTCTTAGCACTCAGTTCCTAGATGTTTGAGCTTTTGAAGATGCTTTTCAATTGCTAGCTTTGAAGAAAATCTCAGTTTCTTTAACTGTAACATTATTATTGGTTTTTTTTTCCTGTAATGTGTGCCCTTTCTACATACATTTCAGTATGGATATTTTTAAAAATAGATTAAACCAATAGATTAAAATCGCAAGAGATGAGATTCTGACTAAACATTAGGAAGAATACAGTATCTGGACTATAAGAGCTGGTCAGTGGTGGCACAGACTATCTGCGAAGGTGGTATACTCCCCTTCATTTCAGAGATTTGGAAGTGGTTGGATGGCCTCCTGCAATAAAGCTGGAGACACCAGCACAGGCTGGGACTTGAAGCCTGCAATACTTCTCCTTCACCATCCATGGAGGCTGTACCGCCAGAACTATAAAAGTAACTGTAAAGTTACAATTACATTGCAAAGGAGTTAAGTTATCCCTTGTTAAGTTGCAGAGTAACGTAGTGATACCTAGGCTATTAGGAAAAAAGAAGAAGAAAAGCGATTGCAAACCAGTTATAGTGATACCTAGGCTATTAGGAAAAAAGAAAAGAAAAGCGATTGCAAACCAATTGTAAATAACAACTTAGCTGTAACTATGTGCTCCCATCTTCTATGCGGTATATGCATGTATGAGCCTGAGAGAGGGAGGAGGCCAACACTGCCTGTAAAATAGCTTTTCTTTAATGGCACAGTCTTCCTCTGTTTGGATAAAGAGTAAATGCCTTGTGAAATGGCATGTTTTGTCTTTACAGCCCCCAAACCTCATTCTTGGTTTTCACATTACCGCCTTTATTGGGTTCTCCTTTGGAAAAGGTTGCCCTCAAGTGCTGACTTAGATAGTGATCTGTACAAAACCAACATCTCTTGGCTCTGCCTGTGGAACCCTATAGCGCTCGTAAGCATGTGTCGCCATTTTCCACGTTAGCCTTCCAAGGCAATTTCTTGGATGTCTTGTAGATATTTCTCTCTCTCTTTCTTTCCCTCTCTATCACTTTAAAAGAGAAGAGGTGTGAGAGAGGGAACACAACTCTCTTCCACCGACTGCTGCCAGAAACTTTCTCTCTTCTTCCTGCTTTTTAAAAAGATTCCCTCCTTACTTTTACAGTTCAAGGAAGATGCAGCTAAGCTTCCTGGTCTGTAGCATTTTATGAGGTGGGGAGATTTTCCTGCCCCATGCAGCCTCAGTGATGGAGTGGACTTAGAACTGTCGGGTCAAAGCACTCGGACTCTTTAATTTGAAGGGATAATTACGTCGTCTGCAAACGGTGCCCATATCCTTGGGCTGCCTTCTCTGTCTCCTCTGCACTTAGTTTTAATCCTCAAAGTAGCTGGCGTGTGTGTGTGTGTGTGTAAAATGGTTTTTCCTAGTGGCAAAATACCATTTTGGAAACGGAAAGTATTTTGAAATGGCTTGGGACCCAAATGAGTTATTGTGACCCATTAACTGTACAAAAGGCCTACTTGCGCGGATGAAAATAATAGATGTTCCGGAAAATGGATTACGTTGGTTTTCAGGAGCAGTAGGGAACATACTTTACCCACTTCTGTTATTATGGGTCATCTTCTTCGAAAGAAGAGAGAATATGTACTGGGACTTTCATGGATATCTTGTAAAGACTGTTCTCACACGTAATTTGTCTGTGACAGTTCTGTCTTGTTCTTCCTCGTACATGACTTCTTCCACGACAGGAAGGGATTTAGCTTGGGGGCTAGAGCACCTTCTTGAAATGCAGAAGGTCTCAGATTCGATTTCCAGTATCATTCCTACTGGAAAACGTAGAGACGTTGACTGCCAGTCACTAGGATGCATGGATGATGGTACAACTCAACGTAAGGAAATTTCCTTTGTTGTGTCTCTTACTCTAGATACAGCCCTATGAGGTGGTCTTTAATGAGACAAGAGTCCTGTGTCTCTCTCCTTCCAGTCTGAGGTTCTAACCACATGGGCGCTCTTAGGATCAGCTCCTCCTAAATCTTGCAGCCCTGAGCCAGTTGTCCACTTTGCCCTTTTCTCTCCTT